CTTTGGTTCTATGACATACTCAATAGTATGGTTTTTTTTTATCTATGGTGTTCCAGGGTTTTCTGGTGTTACAAGTAGTTGGACCAACATAGTGATATTTTGCCACAGTTTTTGATTATGTTGGCTTCACTAGGAATTGTACTGGCTCACATATGTACATATTTGCATTGTACATGCAAATAGAAATCATTAACACACCAAATTGCCACGACAATTTAACATTGATTCAGAGACGCCAAAAGAAAACTGCAATAAAAGGCTTCAACCAAGCAATGTAGCAAAGATGTGTGAGATGAAGACCTGTCAGAAACAAAAAACCACTCCTGAGTATCATTGTCGATACATTTCAAGATATAATAGTCATCACCACCTAACTGTACATGACTCTTGGATATTTGTTATTTGTGGTTGTGGTCAAAAATTAGCATTTATCACATTTTCATTCACAGTGGAAGCCAAGTTGAACATACTGTGTCTCTGATAGGCCTTGCACTGCCAAAATGTGACACAATCTACCCTCTGATGCTAAATAATTAGCTCTCCTTAGAGGATTTTTATGCTCACTGGGTAAATGTTAGATGAATAAAGCTCACTGCCTGTAGCAAATTTGTGAATTTTCATGACAGACTTTGTAAAATTGTGTACTATTTATTTGGTTTTGTTTCTTAGATTATCAGTAATATTCTTAGTAATTTATAGAGATGGGACAGCTCTTTGAAGGGATTCAGATGTTGAGGGTCTGTTTGTTTCATAGAAATATGCTGGTGAGTATGCAGGTCACAATCAATTAAAAAAAGCTAAACAAAACAAWTGTATTTCATTTCTGAAGCTAAAGACGTTTTGCTTCCCGTCTGGGAAGGTTTCTCTACTTTAAACAACTCAACGACTCTCCATTGTGAGAGGCGAGTAGTTCCAGGTGATCTGCATGTGAATCTGAGCCCTGACGAGGCCTCTCGGGCAGGTCTATAAAGCTTGGAGTTCGACACAACTCCAGACATTTTGAACTGAGAAAGGTCCCTTGATGGGAAATGAAACATCTTCAGCTTCAGTAAAGAAGTATAATGTTTTTTTGTTGTTGTTTACTTTTTTTTGGATTGTTTCAGTTTTGAATGTTAGTGATGTAGCCCATGTCACTATGGCCATATGTGGTGTAGGCCATACACAGCAAATATGGCAGGGTTAAATTTACACTATTGACATTGATTTAACAGTAAATAGTGTTAACATAAGTGTCGTACCATGTGACGTGTTTAGGGCACGGCGCCCCTCCCTCCCCCCTGAGTACATGCTCCCCACGTTCAGCTGCTGCCCTCCTCCTTTTTGCTCTTTTCTTTTTTGCTTCATGGGAAAAGCGAGGAAGGACAGTATGTGTCTACACCTGAGGAGGGAAAAACAATTTGAAAACAAACGGCATTCAATCATCTGCGTCTCGGCTCCCGTCGTTCATTTTAAAGAGCCTTTCAAAAGAATCAGGTCATCCGTGAGCTTCACATCTCATGCCGTTTATCTCAGTGCAAAACAAGAATATAACTCTCACTGTACGCTGTAGGTTGTATACTATACGCACCAAAATTTGTTTTCACTTTTTTAAAAATGGTAAACCTTTGTTCTAATCAATGTGAATACAAATGCAGTGAAAACGTGCTAACACTTTGAGCTGTATATTAGCAGGCAGAGGCACAGAAATGAGACGAAGTCATGACTCAGGAAGAGCAAGACCGAGAGTAACAGAGAGGCTGTCACGTGTCTGAGTTCAACTTCTCTAAGGGAAGTTGTTGTGCTATATCTGAAGGATTTAATGCAACGTGTGTGTGTGTGTGTGTGTGTGTGCGCGCGCACGCACAAGTGTATGTGTGTTCAGTCGATACTATAATTTAGCAAGTGTATGCGAAACTCTGGGAAATCCTATGGTCAGTTGTGGTTAAGAAAGAAACACTGATTAACTGAAGCCAAGGCCCACTCTGATGTGCAAACACACACACACACACACACACGCACACTTATACACCTGATGACATTACACAATTTGCACAAGTTGAGGATATTCCTTGTACACACCAAGGATTACCACACCGTGAGTCAAAACTGTGGTAACAACTGTACAACACTGTTGGTCTAAGCTCTGAAATGGTTGGACGTGTGCAGCAGTATCAGCCAGAACTGAACATTTCCCCTTTTTCTTAAATTAGAGTTCTGCATTTAACTTTGCTTAAGCAAGCAGATAGACTAAAAGACAAAAAACAGACAGGCAGGCAGACCGAGCAGGAAATATAGACCAAGAGAACAAAAGAAAAACTAAAGTAGAGCAGCTGGCTCAGGAAGTTACATAAAGCAGCTGATGTCTGACCACCATGTTTTTACATCTTACTTTCTGTGGTTCCTTTTAATATATTTTAGCTTTAATATGCAACCCTCATAATTTCCTTCTTTTTTTCAGACTTATTTTAAACCTAATTGTATTTATGTTCATGTTTCTGTGGTTTCTCCTTTTTACTTGCAATTACAAAATCCCCAATTTCAGAAAAGATAAGAAATATTACAAAATACAGTCTACAGAGCTGTAATTAGTTGAGTTTACTTTACAAGTCTCTCATTTTTGTGTTTTCACTATTTATAACAGTATAAACAAAAAGTAAACAATTAGTTGTTGGAAATTTTGACTAACACCAGATTAGGTGGAGGCATGTGTGAGTGACACCACTGGGTAAAAAAAAAGCACCAAAAACTTAGTCACTCCATCTGAGAGTCATTGATGAAAAAAGCTATAGTGGTCCAACACCTACAAACTATTATTATAAAAAATATATATGCAAATTAATACAAAGTCCAAGTCTAGAAACCACTGTAAGATGTGGCTGACCTTCCAGCCCTCAGGCAGCGCTATAATCAGAACAACTACGTCACAAGTTCACAAGTGGAAAAACTGCTAACACTTAGAATCTGAAATTTTACATATAATATGCAAAACTGAAGCCATACATAAACAATCGTTTTGGAGAGACATGTTTCTATGAAGGCAACATTTCCAAAAGATTTTTGATTATTTCAAAATGTAGCTTAAAGTGATGCTTGAGTCAGAGTATTAAAAATTTAAATTACTTGTGTGAAAGTTGGTCTTCCATAAAAATATCACTTGAGTAAAAACCTTAAAGTATCTCAAATTGACTGTACTTAAATATCAAAAATAAAAAAAGTCAATTTCTGATACAAAATGTACTTAAGTATTAAAAGTACTGAGTAAAAGCGAGCAGTTAGGATGTTCAAAATGACGTTTATTGGGTGATGACCTCCCTAAAAAAGATTTTTCTAAAAGCTATAATGACTATAATGTTGTATTAAAATGGTAATGTTGAAAAATTTGAGTGTGACGTGATTTGTGTCATGTGCAGGTGTGATGGATCAAGTACAAACAAACAGGGTGTCAGATTGGGGTATACATATTTATACTTCTCTCATCCAACCACAATTAATTCACATTATCTGGGAGGTGCAATATAACTGGATAGATTTGTATTTACATTTTTAAACCATTACAAGCTGGAATGAAAACAAGCTGAAATGATAAAGAAGTAGCAAGGCTATTTTTTTCTCTGATTTTGTTGATTATAGTATTTTTTCAGTTATTTATAGGGCCCATAAAAACATATTACCTTCAAACATCCAATTACATTTTATTAAAAGGGAGAGATGTTACAATCTGAAGGGCATAGAAATGTTTGTGAGACCTAAAATTAGAACCAGTTTGAGGGAACAGAGTACTTCAGACCAGGGAATTAAACTATGGAATAATCTGGAAGATGACGTTAAAAAATACCAGATCAATGTGTATATTTAAGAGAATGATAAAGATTAATTTGTTGGAGAAATATGTATGGGTATAATGGATTACAAATGTTTGTTAAACCGAAAATCAGAAC